GCCATGATCTGCCTGTACCGCTCGTAAACAAAGCCTTTCACTGTATTTTGGTACACATGGCAATAAAATCAATCAATCAATTTGACTGGGACAATGTAGCCATCCTAGGACAAGCCAAGCAAAGGCACGCACGGGAATTCCTGGAGGCCTGGCGCTCAAACCGGAAAGCCATTAACAAACATGTAAAGCTGTATCCCATATACCAACTGCTAAGAAACAGATGTGGAAGTGATGCCACCAACCCCAGCAAACCCAGACACATAAATAGCAAGTGGGACAGAACACCGACTCTTCACCAGAGGTGCACTGATGATGTTACCTAGCAGGGTGATGGAACGTTTATGAACAAACTTACCAGCTCAGCAAACAAGTCAACAACCTTGTTCAGTTAATACTTCAGCCATGCCTTTTCCCTTGATATATAAATCCCGTGTTGGCCCCTACTTTGAGAGCGTTGAGCCTGTGGAATTCTCTCTGCCACAGAAAGCAAAAGGCCAAAATGTTGAGTGTTTTCAAGAAGGAGTTAGATATTGTTCTTGGGCTAAAATGATCAAAGGAGTGAAAGCAGGAACAAGGGACTGAGTTGGATGATTAGCCATAATCCTATTGAGTGGTGGAGCAGGCTCGAAGGGCCAAATGGCCTAATCCTGCTGCTTTTTTCAATGTTCCCACATTCCCAGTACAATTCCCGCAGTTCAGGTGTAATAGTTAGCTGGTGTACACAAAGTGTCGTTAGGCATGTCCCTCCGCGAGGCAATAATTAATGTGCACCTCAAGCTGCAACACTCCACAGGCATGGGGCAAGGTGTAGGGCAGGGCCACTGAAATATTCCCACATCCAGTACAGGGATTGAGCCTGCGTTGTTTGGGAAGTAGCGAACATACCCAGCTGTTTAAAAGAGAAGACAGAAAGAAAATAAAGACCTATAAAACTAGTTAGCCTGATAGCAATATGCAAAATGCTTTTTTTATTATTAATAGGATTTGGACATTGTTGGCTGGGTAAGTAAATATTGCCCATCCCTAATTGTCCTTGAGAAGGAGATGGTGAATTACCTTCTTGAACCATTGTCACTCAAATCCATTATTAGGGGCATGGTAACAGGACACTTAGGAACCCATTACATGATTAAACAGATCAATTGAGATTTATGACAGGGAAATTCTGTTTGACAAACCTGTTTGTGGTTTTTGAGGACACAATCAGTGGGATGAATAAGTGTGCTTCTATTTTCAAAAAGTCTTTGATGAGGTGTCACACAAGGAATAATTACATAAAATTAGGACCCATGGGATTGGAGTGATAGATTAGCCCCAATTGAGGAATTGCTAAGAGACAGAAAACAGAGGGTATAAATTAGTTAAGCATTTTATGGTTGGCAGCCTGCAACAAGTGGGACACAGCTACAAACAGCACAGGACCTCATCTATTGACTATTTATATTGTTGACCTCCATGAGAGGATTGAGTGCAATGCATCTAGTCGTTTCCATTACAAAGTGAGGTGGTTGCGAAGGAATTTGGACAGATGACATGAACTGAGCAAGAACATGCCAGAGAGAATACAATGACAATATTTGTGCTGGTAGAAAAGTAGAACATTTATTAAATAATGGGAGACTGGGGAATGTTTGGATTTGGACTGACCAGAATGTCCTTGTACATGGCTCGCAAAAAGTCAATCTGCAGATACCACAGAAATTGTGAAGGCAAATGGCATCCTAGCTTTTGTAACTTCTGCACACAAAGGGGGTTGAGGTTGGAACTCTCTTCTACAAATGGCAGTCGATGTGAGATCAGTTGTTAATTTTCAATCTGAGGGGCATAATCTTCTGCTAAGCAAATGAATTAAGGGATATGGGCCAAAGGCAGGTATGTGGAGTTAGGCCACAGATCAATTATGATCTCACTGAATGGTGGAACAGGTTTGAGGGACCGAATGGCATACACTTGTTCCTCTGCTTCTATGTTCCTATGTAAGTTAATGATGATTGCAGCCAACTACCAGGCTTACATTTTACACCAGACAGGCTGACTTCTGAGTGTTCAAAGCATTGCCTTGACAAATAATCTGGGGAATGGCTGTCGCTTATTTTGTTGGGTTGAAACAGGTACACTGTATATACAAAGGCTGGCAGTTAGCTGTCAATTGTCATTAACTGGCACATGTGATGGTGCCCCTACCAATCACAGTCCACTTGCCAACAAATCTGCATTCTTCTCTCATACAGTATAAATGATGGCTTACCCCGTGAATTGGTATCCTTACGAGGTTTCAACATGGCCATTCCACCTAACCTGCACATGTTTGGATTGTGGGAGGGAAGCGGAGCAACCAGCGGAAGCCCACGCAGACACAGGGAGAATGTGAAAACTCTACACAGACAATTGAATCCAGACCCCTTGAGCTGTGCTAACCACTTAGCCACCATGCCTCCTGAGAAACATCTCTGTGTTGGAGAAATTGATGAGATTAAAAGACAGAAAAAGCCCAAAGGCCTGATAATCTACATCTCTGAGCACATAAGGGAGTGGCCCTAGAAATATTGCATGCGTTATTGGTCATCTTCCAAGATTCTTTAGGCTCCATAATAAACTGGAGGGTAGCTAATGTCACCCTGCTATTTAAAAAGGGAGGTATAGAGAAAAGAGAATTATAGACCAGTGAGTCTGACATTAGGTGTGGGAGAATGGTCCATTATCAAGTGCCCAGGGATGTGCAGGCATGGTGGGTTAGCCATGGAAAAGCAATATTATGGGGCTAGGGTGACGGTACTGGGTCTGGATGGGATCTTCAGAGGATCAGTGCAAACTTGATGGGCCAAATGGCCTCATCCCGTACTGTAGGGATTCTATGATTCTACGATTCTGTCCTACCAAATGAGAAATTAATACACAAATATTAAAAATTGAAGCTGGATTAGGTCATCTAAACCTTTCAACCTGATCATGGCTGATCTTCTCCCTCAACTCCACAGTCACACTGACCTTAGAATTCCTTGATCACTTACTAACCCCCCAAAAATAATCTATTGATCGCTGCCTTACATATGCTCAACAAACTACCATCCACATTGCTCTGGGTGGAGATTTCCAAAGATACCCAACTCTTTGAGTGAAGAAATTTCCCCTCGTCTCAGTCCCAAATGATAACCTCTTATTCTGAGACTGTAATCCTCGTGTTTCAGATTGTCCAGCCAGGGGAAGCATTTCTAATCATTGGCCATGCTACACTGTTTGAGAATTTTATATGTTTCATCTTCTAGAATTTAAGGAATAGAGACTTAGTCTCCTCAATCTCTCCTCAAAGGGTAACTCACTCATCACTATTATCCAATCTAGTAAACTCTCGCCATGGCAAGTGTATTGTCCTCTAGATCAGGTGATCAAACCTGCACATTGTATTGCAGGTGGCCTTACCAGAGCTCTGTATAAATGGAGTAAAACTTCTGCATTCTTTTCTTACGCATCTGTTTCAATGCATCAAAATAGGTTGCAGCCATTAGCAAAAGATTATGTACCTCAGATTTAAAATTAACAACTGATTTCACATCAACTGCCATTTGTACAAAAGAGTTCTAACCTCAACCTGTAGCAGACGTGCTTCCTAACATCTCTCCTAGATGGTCTGCCCACAATTCTCAGACTGTGCACCCTAGTTCTAGAATTCCCAACCAGTGGAAATTGTTTATCTACCTTGTCTTTTCCTGTTCATATCTTGAAGCCTTTGATCATATCACCCCTTAATGTTCTAAAATCTAGAGAAAACCTATTTGTACAAAGTCTCGCCATAACTTTACCCCTGAAGTCCAGTTTTCATTCCTGTAAGCCTATCTTCCACTCACTCCAAGGCCAATATATCCTTTCTAAGGTGAAGTCCAAATGATGACTGTTGAATAAACATGGCCAATGGACAAATGATTTCTGCCCCCAAGCTCCCACAAATGTCAATGGGATGGAGAATCAGTTTTAGCTGTTGGTTGAGGGATAAATGTTGACAATGTCTTGTAGTGAATTGATATGCTCTCCTTTAAATCATGCTGTGATACCTTTTACATTCAGGCCCCTATTTAAAGGTCTCATTCGAACAGCTCTGCTGACAGTGCAAGACTTCCTGAGTAATGCAGTGAACTCAGTCTAGATTTTTCACCATGTCATCTTTGCAGTGGGATGTCAAGCCAAATTCTACTGTGTTGAGATTGTAATTGAGTCTTCTCTGAGCACTAAACACTGTGGCGCAAAGTCATAAAGTTTCAAAACGTCTGATATGTTACAATGGGGACCAAGGAGAGGGTCAGCTAAAATTGATTCTCTGTCCCATTGATGTTTGTGGGAGTTTGAGAGCCAAAGTCATTTGCTCATTGCCCACATCTATGGGCAATTACAATCAGAGATGACACAAGATGGCTCACGCAGGAATCTTTTTTCAATTCATTTATGAGACGCGGGATATCATCCATTCATGATTGCCCAGAGGGCTTTGCTGTGGGTTTGGAGTCACATGTAGGCCAGACCAGGTAAGGATTGCAGATTTCCTTCCCTAAAGAAAATCAGTGAACCAGATGCATTTTTACATCAATGGCTACAATTAAGCGAGCTTTTTAACCTAGATTTTATTGAATTCAAATTTTGAACCCATTTGGGATTGGGAATTCCTACTGGGATTTGAATCATTAGCCGAGGCTCTGGATTATTTGTCCAATGACATTACCATTTGGCCACAACTGTTCCTTAAATGGGGAATCAACCGTTAGATTGTGAGTCCTTCCCTAAGGTCAGAGTTTGTTTCCCTCACTGTGTCACATCTAACTGGGTCCTGTTGTCACTGGACCTGTGCGGAAGGACAGCGTTAATCCTCCACACAAACATTCCTCACACATCAGAAAGCCCAAACACAATGTGCCCCTGTTTCTATTCCCTGAGCGACATTTGCTTCCATCGGATGAGCTCCATCAGGCCTTATTTGCGAGTTGACAGTTTTCAGGCCTCTCTCTTTCCAGGTTTCCCTCATCTTCCTCATCAGCGGCCTGGTGATCCTTGGTTACTGTTCTTCAATCAGCCAACAGTCCACCTACCAGGGAGTGGTGAAGGAGACCTGTGGGCCCACCGTTGGGAGACTCTGTGAGATCTGCTTTGTCTTCAACGTCTTTATGATCTCAATCGCATTTCTCGTCGTCGTTGAAGATCAGCTGAGCAAATGTGGGTGTGATCAGGGGCTGAGTGCTGATTTTCCATTGTCTCCATGAGGTCTGCATTGGGAAGGACTAGAGACAAGGTGTAGAGGCAGATTCACCGTAATGTTGCCCAGGCTGCAGCAATGCAGCTATGAAGGGAGACTGGAGATGCTGGGGCTGTTTCCATAGAGCAGAGGAGGCTGAGTGCAGGATGGACCTAATATAGATCTGCAAAATTATGAGGGGCATAGCTAAGGTAGATAGAGAATAACCTTTTACCCCTTAGCAATGATGCCTAAAAATAGGTGCCATCGATTCAAGGTGAAGGCAGGAGATTTAGAGAGGATTTAAGGAAGACATTTTTTTAACCCACCCAGAATGGTGGACCAAGGGTGCTGGAGGTAGGAATCCTCGCAAAGTTGAAGAAATATTTACAGTAGATGAACACTTGATGCTCATCAGTCTACAGCCAAGCGCTGGAAAATGGGACCAAAGTGAACAGGCACTTGATAAAAAAAAACCGACAGAACCGCAGATGCTGTCATAAAAAAAAACCCAGAAATTTCTGGAAAAGCTCAGCGGGTCTGGCATCATGTGTGGAGAGAAAGAGAGTTAACGTTTCAAGTCGAGTGATCTTTTGTCAGAACTTAGAATAGATACTTGATGACCAGTACATGCATGATGGGCTGAAAGCCTCTTGCTGTGCTGTTAAAATTCCTCCACTCCAAATTATCGCCTTCAACTAACTGCCCCACTTGGCAGCAACAGGTAGTTCATCTTTTAGATCACGGCCGTCCTCTCTCTTTCTGTTGGTACATTGGGAAAACAAAATGTTCATTTGGTGCAGCAGAAACATTGGAGTTGGCTACTCAGATCCTTCAGGCCCGTGTTGTCATTCAATTCAATCATGGCCCATCTGCCCGGTACCTCGCCTTTGCTCCATTTAACAAAATTGACAAATAATTTTTTTTTAAATATGGTCTTGGCGGCTCCAGCTTGAACTCAGAATACACAGCTTTTTGAGGGGCAGAGTTCCAAATTTTCAGTATTTGGAGAAAGAAAATCAGTTTCCCAAATTCCCTAGCAAAAGGCTCGGCTCTAATTTTAAACCTGTGTCCTTATGTCCAAACTCACTAGGTCACCGTGCCCCCCACCTACCCCCAAAACCAGAACAAATAATTGGCTCGATTTTCACTCCTGGAACAGGAAGAATGTGTTCCCAACTTATGCCCAGAATAAACGGGTGGGCGTGGTGGCTCAGTGGTTAGCACTGCTGCCTCACAGCGCCAGGAACCTGTGTTTGACTCCACCCTCGGGCAACTGTCTGTGTGGAGTTTGCACATTCTCCCCGTGTCTGTGTGGGTTTCCTCCGGGTGCTCCGGTTTCCTCCCACAGTCCAAAGACGTGCAGGTTAGGGTGGATTGGCCATCCTAAATTGCCCCATAGAGTCCAGGGATGTGCAGGCTAGGTGGGTTAGCCATGGGAAGTGCAAGATTACAGGGATAGGTTGGGGGGGTGGGTCTGGATGGGCTGTTCTTTGGAGGGCCAGAGTGGATGGGCCAAATGGCCTACTTCCACACTTATAAACAGGCCCTCATGTGGGTTTTCACAGGGTTCCACCCTTGGTTGGCATGGCAACAGTTCCTTAATACAACTGGAGATGAAGGACTGCCTCTATAGACCAGACAGCCAATCACAGGCTGTTGGTGACATAGTGGGCCATGTCACTGGACTAGCCATCCAGAACCCGGGCTAATGCTATGGGGCCGTGGTAGAAGGTGAAAGTCGCATTCAATTAAAATCTGGAGTTAAAAAGAAAGCCTGATAGTAATCAATTGTCATTTAGAAGCCCATCTGGTTCACTCGTGCCCTTTCGGGAAGGAAGTCTGGCCTATATGTGACTCCAGGCCAACAATCTCCACCCCTTAATAAGTTAGCTTTCAGCTAACCCTCTGGGTAATAACTATTGGCTCAGACGCTGACAGCTGCACCTTTTGAATTAATAAATTAAAATGGGGGCCATCTGTCAGGAGAGGCTGCAGTGAAGTTAAGAGATGCATCAGATGGCGTCTCCCCAATGTTTTGATTAAAAATAAGATTCAGTAGCCAGGGGACCTGGGTGGTTGGAACCCGTTTCCAGGGCAACCTGCCAATGGGTGCCCACTTCCAACTGCCCAAACAGACCCCAAGTCAATGCAGGAGAATGGACACCAGTTGGAGATTTCCAGTTACTGCTATGACAATATTCTATCTTTAAGCGATGTGTTCTGTCCTGTTTCTCTTGCAAAGGGTTCTTGTCACAACTGTGCCAAAATATCTTCTTCAGACAGGCAGTTGGTAAACAGTTTTCAGTTCTCCCTGAGGGTCTTTTTTTTAAGAGTAAGACAAAAGAATTATGAGTGGGCAGGGGTCAGGCACACGCAGAGCCAAAAATCTTTAGTTTTACTGATGAAGGGTATAAACCCGAAATGTCGACTTTCCTGCTCCTCTGATGCTGCCTGACCTGCTGTGCTCTACCTCCAGCTCCACACTGCATCGACTAGTTTGACTTTCAGTTAGTTGGTAATTTTTTGCTGGTTGTTGGAGCTGAAAGATTGAGCTCTCTGCTGTTAGGGTGAAGGCCAAGTCTGAGAGATTCCCTTTTAAAAATCTAAAGGGGCAGATTGTTTCTTTTGTTGTTTCTTTTTACTGGACTGGAGAGATGCAGCTCGTGAGAATAAAAACGGTGTGGCTGAATTGCCTTTGCCAAGGGTGTGTTTATGGGATGCTGCCTACATTGGAACAGTTGATGATTAGTGGTTAAGTAATACAGCACCTTGATAAGTATTTCAATAGAGTTAAAGTTATGGCAATTTTTCCTTTTGTTGCATTTTAACTGTGTTGTAAGAAAAAAGTGTGTTTTGATTAAAACCTAATGATGGACCAATCAAATCATATCTGGCCCACAGCACCTAAACTTGTCTTTTAAAAAAATATAAACGTTATGGCCTATGTTATCTTCATAATATACTTTGGGAGCCTGGTCTGCTCTGGTCACTAAAACTTCCTTCCATTAGACACAGTTGCACCTTTTAATGGGACATAGTTGGCTCAGAGAGATTACAAACCACATTCCTCCAGCCTGTCCTCATTACTTACACCTTACAGCCCAGCTTTGTCCATCCAGCTTTGTCCCCCAGTGATGCTTTTCATGGTTTGCTGAGTGAGCTCCAGCTTCTCCCTGCAAATGATAGTCAGAGCAGGATTTGGTTCTTATCTCTCTCCCACATACAGGAATGCATGAGGGGGCTCTGCCATGCACTGTATGGTTCGATACTGGAGGGTAGCATTTGCAGCTGATTGGATGGTTCTGTTGTGTTTCAGTGTGCGACTCAATGGCGATCAATGAAACCATGGCAGACAGTTCGGACACGCCCCGGCCCTGGTACACAGACCATCGTCTGGGACTGTCTGGCATCTGCCTCTTTGTCATCCTGCCATTATCAATCCCGGAGGAGCTCAGCTTTCAGAAGTACAGCAGGTACGGCTACCCATTTAGGCAGTGCTGGCATTGTGCGAAGATTGACTCGTACGTGGGTTAGGGGCTGGATAACATTGCCAAACTGATGGTGAGGGATGCGTGCCTTGAATGGGGGCCAAGAGGAAATGGGTGCAATCTGGACCTTCTTCAGGCAGATCACATGGTGAACTGGCACATGCTTATTGCTGCCCTGCCATCACCAGCCAATGGGGTCAGGGAATGCCCTTGCCTTTCCTTGGCGCCAGCAGACCAGGGGCTGGTGCCTATCTCGCTCAGTGTAGATTGTGGGGGAGCTGTCCACTTTTCTCATTCCCCTTGAAGTGGGGGAGGGTGGGGGGAAATAAACGTGACCTCTTCCTGACCTTTTCCGCATCCCATCAACCTCCATTTTGCTAAAAACCTGCTCAAAAGTCAGTGGAAGGTCTACTGAAATGGCCAAATATCTTGCAGCAAAGTATTGAGGCACATAGAAGCAGGTGTATGTGTGTTTGTATGTGTGGGTTTGTATGTGTGTATGTGTACAGGTGGTCCCCAATTTATTAATGCCCAATTTACGAATGCTCGTACTTATGAATGTGATCCCATACAGGAGTGTAATTTCAAAGAGCTGACATATGATCAATACGTGTACTTACAAACAGTCGCTTTACCCCTGCATTGTGTTGTGATTTGCATACAAATTGACTTGTGAATGTGTGTGTGTGTGTGTGTGCACGCGTGTGTGCGTGCGTGCATGTGTGTGCGCGTATGTGTGTGTGCACACGTGTGCATGTGCGTGTGTGCATGTGTGTGCGCGCGCGTGTGTGTGTGAGTGTGCGTGTGTGTGCGTGTATGTCTTTGTCTGAGAGTCAAGATTGATTTAAGCTTTCCTCACTTATCTTTTCCCTCCCACAGCATCCTGGGGACTTTGGCAGCCACATATCTCACAATTATGGTAGTGGTGAAATTCTATTTGATAATGGATTCCAAGTTCATTCCAGACCAGCACAGCTCCAGGTAAGAACTCAGGAATCTCAGTCCCTGTGGGTTTGCCTGTAAAACCTGAGGAACACAATGTAACATGGTCACATCTGCGATGAAAGCTCACCGCACTGCAATAACACAACAAGGACATCATCAAATTATAAAACCTCCAAGCATTCAGAATCAATTCCAATGATTTTTAATGGGGTTTTGTTGGCCAGTTCTGATAACGCATTTGGATAACATGTCTTATATATATCAACGTCAATTCATCCTCCGTGATGAAGGTATTTATCCAATATTAGGCATTAGAAAATAGAAGATTGTGTCAGAGAGGGACATAGTGTTAGACATCAGCCATCAAAACATACATACAAGGTACTGAAGTAAGCTCAACCTTTTCCACTATTCATATTCAGCTCATCCATATGTTAATTCCAGCCCTTAATTACCTTGACTCTATACCCTTAAATATCTTTGACAAAGAAAGATTAATCTACAAAGCTGCACTCTAGGCTGATGTTTAAGGTGGCTCAGTGGTGCAGTAATTAGCACTGCTGCCTCACAGCTCTAGGGACCCAGGTTCAATCTCACATTTCTAAATGTAAGTATTATATTATTTGCTGAGAGAACATTAGAAAACTGTGGCCTGGTTTGTATGTCTCTGCTGGGCCTCACAATTACTTATCCTCTAACACCAATAAAGGAACATATTGCGTCCATGCAGTTTAAGAAATTTAGGTCCTTATTTTAAGTGGCCTTTATGATGCGGCCTGTGCTGGGGAATTGGTAAACTTTTGCAGGCTTTCTAAGTAGCCCTGTTCAGCGAGATTGGCCAAAAGGATGTTTCAGTAACACAACCTCCTGCCTCAGAGGTGACAGTGTACCCACTGTATTGGCACCAGCACCAGACTGGCATTGCTCTGCCCTCTGGCACCAGGTTTGGCAATCTCAGAATCCACACCAAACAATACCTGTTTAAAAAAAAATGCAAAAAAAAGTAACAGAAAGAAGTGGCTTCATCAAAGAATCGAACTGTGGAGTGGGTCCATCAATAGCTGGTTAAATAGCAGTTTGCAATTTGAGTAACTGTATTGCATAAGATAGCAGGCGTCTATCCGACATGATCGAAAGGATGAGATTTCTGTAGACAGGGTATGGTAGAGAATTATCAAGATACCGCCCAGGCTGGAGGGTATTGTATAGATTGGGGCCCTTGGAAAACTGGGGGCTGTGGTCCATGCTGGACACTGACATTAAACACAATTTCATTTCTCTGCCCTCAGTGTTCCTTCATGGACAGCCATTTTCACCGTCGTGCCAACAATTTGCTTTGGATTCCAGGTAAGAGAGTTGTAGTTGAGGGTGGCTAGAGGGTACAATGGGAAGTGATGGCCTAGTGGTATTATCACTCGATGGTTGATCCAGAGACGCAGGTAGGTTCAAAAGCTGCTGTGGCTGATGGTGGAATCTGAGTTCAATGAAAATCTGGAATTAAGAGTCAAATGGTAACTATTAATCCATTGTTGTAAAACCGCACTCTGGTTCACGAATGCTTTTTAGGGAAGGAAACTGCCATCCTTACCTGGTCTGGCCTACATGTGACTCCAGACCCATAGCAACGTGCTTGACTTTTAACTGCCCCCTGGGTAATTAGGGATGGGCTACAAATGCTGCCCAACTAGCGACGCCCTCATCCCATTAATGAATGATAAAAGAAGAAGTGAGCGATCAATCTATCTCTTATTCTCCAGTTGGATTTGCATCAGTGGGACTACACATGCTCTATATTCCACAATAGTTTGCAGCCTGTTTCTAGGATGAGCATTTCTTGTACGCAGGTCAGATGTGGTAAGAGCAGTAATGTGGAAACTGGATCACATCTCCGTCCTCCATGCCCTGAAATAGCCCAGGAGTTAAAGAATCTCAATTTTTCTCACTTCCAAATGATAATTCTCAGTCCTCATAGCCCTGGATGATATGTCAATGCAAGTGAATATCTCCATTACTGCTTTAATGTTACAAGAGTTGCTGTTTCAACAACCTCTGGGTGAAAAACCAATTTATCCTTAACTCGCCTCTGAGACTTTGATCTCATACTTTAAGTCTATGCACCTTTTTACTGACCCCTCAAATGATGGAAAAAATGGCACTTTCCTCTCCACCTTATCAATGATTCTCATAATCTCAGAACCTTACACCAAACTATCAGGTCTCTGCTCAACCTCTGCAGATCCAAGGAAAACAATCCCGGCCGATCCAATCTTTCCTGATCGTTCCCACCCTCCAGGCCAGGCAGTATCCTGCTAGATCTTCTCTGTATCTCATCTTTGTATAAAACAAAGAACAGCAAATTGTGTTATGAACCTGGAAAATACTAAAGACCACAGGGATCTTCAGAACAAGGGTCAGAAGAAGGGTCACTGGATTCGAAACGTTAATTCTGTTTCTCTCTCCACGAATGCTGTTGAGTTTACCCATAAATTTCTAATTGTTGTTTCTGATAACGTAGTGACAAGAAATGTACACAGTACACCGACTGTGGCCTAATTTGTATTTAATATATTTTCAAGATAACCTCCCTGAATGAGTTTCTGATTTTATGCATCAGTTGATAAAGGCATATCATCCCAGTACCGTCTTAACCACCTTATTGAGGGGTGGAATGGTGGCTGGGTGGTTAGCACTGTTGACAACCTCAGACCAATCCTATCGTAAGAAAATTGATATGTCATCCAAGGTATATAAGGAGAGGGTCTTTGTAAATCAGGGAGAGTGTGAACCGTCATCTAAGAAATAAGCATCTAGCTCTCACAAGAAATTGCTAAGCTCTCTAAGAAAGCACCATTTATCCATAAAAGGTACCACAGCACTTCTAGCTAAGATTCCTCACAGAAGACTTCACAGAGAAAACATCTCTGACAGCCAGATCAGTGAAAGAAATGTGTTTATGACTCTAGAACAGGAGAAGAAAGGCGTGTAGACTTTGAGAGACTAAGTTTTAATTTACTTTCTAATTACTTGGGTTTATATAAGTGGGACTTACCGGTAGAATTCAGTTCAATTCGGGAACAGTTAGTAGTTAAGGGGGAATTGTTCAGTTTGTAACTAATTCTGTTAATTTGTTCACCGTTAGGGTTAAATAAATAAATTGTTACTTGTAAAGTGAATATCATAAAATCCCTACAGTGTGAAAACAGGCCCTTCAGCCCAACAAGTCCACACTGACCCACAGAGCATCCCACCCAGACCCATCCCCCTATAACCCACCTAATCTATACATCCCTCAACACTACAGGTAATTTAGCAAGGCCAATCCACCTAGCCTGCACATCTTTGGACTGTGGGAGGAAACCCACGCAGACACGGGGAGAATGTGCAAACTCCACACAGACAGTCACCCAAGGTGGAATCAAACCCAGGTCCCTGTCACTGTGAGGTAGCAGTGCTAACCACTGAGCCACCGTGCTGCTCTTAACCACTCTTTTATAACAGATTACAAAGGCAAGGCGAGCTTCTCTGGGTATTTTAGGTTTAATTATTAGAAGACAACGACTAAAAAATCTGCCAGTCCAGTTAGATTGCCACTCTTACAGTTAGCTTAATTGGTAAGGATACCCTGAGGAAAACAATCAGTTCCATCTGGTTGAGACTGGTGCTATTTGCAGAGTAGAAGCGGATGGAGGTCTCTTCTGGATTTGTTAAATGTTTCAGAGGGTGGGCAGTTAATGCAGAGACAATTTCAATCAGCTCATTTGTAATTGAAAACATTTAAATCATCCTTCCTCACAGAGTCATTGAGCTGTACAGCACGGAAACAGACCCTTTCCCCATGCCGACCAGATATCCTAAATTAATCTAGTCCCATTTGCCAGCAATTGGCCCATATACCTCTAACCCCTTCCTATTCATACACCCATTGAGATGCCTTTTAAATGTTGTAATTGTACCAGCCTCCATCAATTCCTCTGGCAGTTCATTCCATACACGCACTACCCTCTGTATTTGTTGTCAGGTCCCTTTTAAATCTTTCCCGTCACACTTTAAATCTATGCCTTCTGGTTTTGGGCGCCCTACTTTGGGAAAAAGAGCTTGGCTGTTCACCCTATCCATGCCCCACATGATCTTATAAACCTCTATAAAGTCACCCCTCAGCTTCTGACGCTCCAGTGAAAATAGCCCCAGCCTATTCAGCCTCTCCCTATAGCTCAAACACTCCAGCCCCATCAACATCCTTGTAAATCTTTTCTGAACCCTTTCAAGTTTTACAACATCCTTCCTATAGCAGGGAGACCAGAACTAAACACAATATTCCAAAAGTGGCCTAACCAATGCCCTGTAGAGCCACAACATGACATCCCAGCTCTTATTCTCAATGCATTGAGCAATAAAGGCAAGCATACCCAATGCCTTATTTACCACCCTGTCTACCTGTGAATCCACTTTCAAGGAACTAAAAATGTAAACTCCAAGGTCTCTTTGTTTGACAATGCTCCTCAGGATCCTATCATTAAGTGTATACATCCTGCCCTGATTTGCCTTGCCAAAATGCAACACATTACATTTATCTAAATTAATTCCCATCTGCCACTCCTCGACCCATCAGCCCATCTGATTAAGGCCCTGTTGTTCCCTGAGGTAACCTTCTTCACTATCCACTACACGTCCAATTTTAGTGTCATCTGCAAACTTACTAACCATACCTCCCATATTCACATCCAAGTCATTCGTATAAATGACAAAAAGAAGTGGGCCCAGCACCGATTCCTGGAACACACTGTTGGTCATAAGTCTCTGGCCCGATAAGCAGCCCTCCATCAATATCCTCATGTCTTCATAGACCATCTGATTGGTCCAAAAGCTCACGGGCTTTGGTTCCTACACTCACATTCTGGATGGAGGATTGACTATTTAATACAAGGCACAAAATTGGGATAAGGGAAGCATTTTCAGGGTGACATCTTGTAACTAGTGAAGTGCCACAGCTCTCAGTACTGGTGCCACAATTATTTACAAAGTGTTAGGACAGAGAGCTAAACCAAATCAGTCTGCCACCTCTGTATTTGCAGCACAGTCTAATTAAACTGAAGACTCACAAATAATCACTCCAATGTTCCTTAACCTGATTTCTGACCAACCGATCCCAGACTTCGTGAATAATTAATTTACAGACACTGGGGATTTTGTATCTTAAACAAAAGACTTAACTATTTATTAAATACACAATAACTTTAGCAAAGATAAAAATTAAATGACACGGTAAGCTAATTAATGCCTGTGCTTTAAACCGAAAACAGTTGTTTTTGGCCCCCATATAAACAAAAGACAGATAAACAAACAACACACATAGTTAATGGATGAATGAAAGAAAATAACAAAACAGGTGAGATTACTTAAATAGCTTTCACAATGTAGTGTTTCACAGGCATAGATGTGGACTTCCAGGCTGTTTTTTCCTGAAACATTGATGACGGTCACCTTCTCAGTTCTTCCAGGCAAAAGCAGCAGAACTTCTAACTCAACTTTCTATACGTCTGGCTTCCAGAAGCTGGTATCTCAGATCAGGCAGGGAGCTTTCAAATCTTCATGCTGTCTCAGCAGCAGCCTGGGAACATCTCCCACAAAACATAGCTAAAAAAAAAAGTTCTGGCTCTTCCCTGATAATCTGATCAGCTCTTCCTGAGGTCTCAATTACATTCATCAACCGTCACCTAGTTGAACATAGAGTCTCTTCCTGACTTGCCAGAACCAATTCTCAGGTGCTGACTTCATTAATGGCCAACTTCTGCTTTCTGTTTAAAAACAATGCTCTCCCTGGGGATCGTTGTGTCTGTTGGAACCTTCTTAATCAAAGCTCAGCCTGCAATTATCTACCAGGCCTGGTCTCACAAACAAACAAAGCTTGTTTTGTCAGTTTTTTTTTTCCCTTTTGCCACAAGCTGTCCCAAAGTCCACCAGTCATTTCCGGCCCTTAATTCAACATTGTTAAATCAGTGAGGGTTCTAACAAACAGATGTTATTGAATCAGAGGAGGAAATTGAATGTATTATCACCAAGTTTGCAGATGACAAAAATAGATGGGAAGGCCAGTGATGAAGATAGCACAAAGAGTCTGCAGAAGTTAAGTGAGTGTGCAAAAATTAGCAAATGAATATAATATGGGAAGTGTGAGATTATGCTCTTTGCCAGAAAGAACATAAGAGTTGAATATCATTTGAATTGAGAAAGAATGCAGAAAGGTACAGAACAGATGAATTTAGGCATTTTAGTGCACGAATCACAAAATGCTAGCATCCAAGTTCAGCTGATAATAGGGTGTATAGGATGGGCTGAAGGACTGAAAGGCAGTGATGATATTCGAGAGCTGCATTGGAAAGTAGACTGTACAGATTGGGAAAACAGGCTGGGAAAGATTAGGATGATGCTTGACAAGCTGCATGACCTTGAATGAGCCCTGTGAACATTCCTTTATGGCTGACGATGATACCTGCAGCTTGCTTTCCTGTAGCTGTTTTCTGCACTGGCCAGAAGTTTTGTTTTCTGTAGTTTTTTTTTCTGTGCCTTGCTGTTTGTTACACTGTATAAGAGAGAGAGAGAGTTTCATTGCAAGTTGTTGGACTTTGCCTCGGGCCAGGATTGTGAATAGTGCCAGGAATGAACCTAAGCCTCCAGACCAGCTTATCGAGGGGTCCCCGACGGGGAGAGGGGCATGAGACTTATTGCTTCTTCCTCTTTTTCGTTCTTTTTATTTACTTAATAAATGTTCCTTTCCTTTTCATCCTTTATTATTACTTAATAAATGTTCACATTTAAGCAAATTGCTGTTGTCAATTTTATGTAATGGAATCTGAAGAGCCGCTTGGATACACTCTGTGATACAAAACGTAGGGAAGGCAAGTGGAATGATTGCCTTCATTTCAAAGGGAATGGTGTATAAAAGTTTAAAGGTTTTACCAAAACTATGCAAGGCATCAGGCAGACCTCAGGTGGAATACAGTGAACTGTTTTGGGCCTGAAAACAGGGGATGTGAGGGAAAAATAAAATCACCCGAACCTGGAACTGGCGCAGACTCGACGGACCAATGGGCCTTTTTCTGTGCTGTAAATCTGCATGACTCCATGACTTTATGAGGTGTGGAACGGCCAGACAGTTGTCAGTCTAATGCTTAAGTGTGCAGCGGAGGATGTCATGAAGCATAAGCAGATGTGCCTGGGATCTTTTTTGCCTATTCAGCTTCTTTATGGAGAACAGTCTCAAGGATTCTTCTGGATGCTTTGTAGGAGGTCCATCTGGGATCAGACTGGGCCAGCTAGATACCACAAACCAACCACAACAAGAGAGTTTTATATTTCAAAATGGGAGAGCTCAGCTGGGAAGCTCTTTCCTTTTGTTTCCTTTGAAAATCTAAAGCAACCTCCAAATCAGAAGCAGCAGCTTAAGGTTAATTTAGGATATCTACTCAGCATGGATGAGTTGGACTGAAGGGTCTGTTTCAGTGCTGTGCAACTCTATGACTCTATAACCTGACAGTCAGAAATGTATCAGGGAACCTCCAGTAAACACACAGTTATCACAAGACGAGTAATTTCTGAGAAATACCTCGTTAAAAAAACAGTTCTGCTTTTTGTTGTCAACTTCAAAAAACAGTTCCGGCATCTTCACCCCTCTAAACACAGGTCTATAATAATTATTAAATATTAAGCCATTATAGCGTGCTTTCTTGAATTCTCTCGTCACAATCCATTCCTCCTCACTCAATCATGCGCTCAACTCCCACTCCAGAGATCTGAACACATTATGTAGACTAAGTATTGAAGGAATTGTTTATCAATTAACTAGCTGTTGGGGCAGACGTCCCATGGCACTATCTATAAAAGAGTAGGGTATTCCCCTCATGCTAGGATTTATTCCTCAAACAAAGAAATTACCTGGTCATCATTGTATTGGGTGTGTGTGTGTGTGTGTGTGTATGTGTGTGTATGTGAGTGTGTGTGTGTGTTTGTGTGTGTGTATTTGTGTGTGTGTGTGTGTGTAGACTGCATTGATAGGATTGACGGCAGAATCTTTTCTCTCACAGTTGAAATGTTTAATACTAGGGGGCATGCATTTAAGGTGAGAGGGGAAAAGTTCAAAGGAAATGTGAGTGGAAAGTTTTTTACACAGAGAGTGGTAGGAGTCTGGAATGTGCTACCAGGGGGAGGCAGATACGATAGGGGTGTTCAAGGGACTTTTAGATAAGTACATGAATATGCAAGGAATGGAGGGATATGGACCAAGGGCAGGCAGAAGGGATTATTTTCATTTGACGTCGTGTTCGGCACAGCATTCTGGGCTCAAGGGCCCATTCCTGTGCCTTGCTGTTCTATGATCCATGTTCTATGTAAACTGTCTGATTGATTCCTACCTTGCAACAACAATTGTGCTTCAAAAACACTGCACAGGCACTAGAAAACAAACTTTTTGGGATGTCCTGAGGAGGTGAAAGGCACTATGTAAATACAAGTCCTCTCTTTCATTCCCATTGCTCGATATCCAATCTACAGAATGTGATGGCGGAGGCACTGGAAGGCAAAAACACCATGGGGGATACCTCTGGGAGGGTAGATATGAAGAAAATGGCTTTCTATCCTCAGAACATTGATCTGAATCTCTGTGCCTGTGTTCCAGTGTCACGAGGCCAGTGTGGCGATCTACAGCAGCATGGAGAACAGGAAACTCTCCCATTGGATCCTCATCTCTGTCCTCTCCATGGTGGCATGTCTGCTCATTTACTCCATCACAGGTAAAAATGCAGCAACACAACATTCATCCTTCACTCCCCAGGACTTGCTCATTTATCACTTTTTTTAATAATTGGAAAACACTAGATTCCTCATGAGTTCATTGGGTCAATGCACAGGAGCCAGATTCTCTCCGACTAGAATGTGTTATGCCCCATGTGCTGAATCTCAATGGGACCAGATTTGGGAATACCTCTGAGTCTCTGGCTTCCAGAGGGAGAAAATGATCAGACAAGATTCAGCTTGTGTTCCCCATCCAGTGACCCTCGATTGGAAAGTGGTCCTCGGACAAACAGAGCTTCAGGCTGTGATGCACCCCATGATAGAGCAGCCCACTGATTCCACCCCTCCTCCATGAGGGATAGTCATGACTTTGAGATATCAAAGAGTTAATTGTAAGCAAACATTATATCGCCAGAGCCTTCCCAGTCACGAAAGGAAGTTTTATCCTGCTGTTCAAAGGTACATGGTGAAAACATCAATAATGGGTGGCATGGTGGCTCAGTGGTTAGCACCGCTGCCTCACAGCATCAGGGACCCGGGTTCGATTCCACCCTCCGGTGACTGTCTGAGTGGAGTTTACACATTCTTCCCATGTCTGTGCGGTTTCCTCCCACAGTCCAAAGGTGTGCAGGCTAGGTGGGTTAGCCATGGGTAATGCAGGGTTACAGGGATAGGTAGGAGGGTGGTCTGAGTGTGATGCTCTTCAGAATCTCAGCATGGGCTCAATAGGTCGAATGGTCTACTTCCACACTGTAGCGATCCTATAAAAGGTGGGAAGGAGGTGGATTCCAATGATAAAGAGGGAGCTGGTTATAAATACAGGTGATGGTGAGGGTAGCTTCTATGGCATTAGCACCAATGGTGATAATGTTATAAGTGTAAGCAATAAAGCAGGGATAGGCAATTTCTCCCTGTTCCTCCATTTTATGGCAGGCCTTCTTCCTCAGCTCCCACCCATTCCCCTCCATTTCCTATTCTATTGAAAATCTGCCTATCTCACCCTAAATGTACATAATAATAGAACACCAGTCACTCTCTGGGGTAGAGAATTTTAAAAGTCTACAATGCTTTGAGTGAAAAAATTGAAAATGTTGCTACTTGGTGTGCCCCCATGTTCCTGATTTTCCAGCTAGGACCTGTTAAAGTGCCCAGCCTGTAAACATTTCATGTTTAAATGAGATCATCTCTCATTTTTCAAATGCCAGACAGTATAGAATTAGTTTACACAACCATTCATCGTAGGACAACCCTCTCAGCCCAGGAACCAACCTAATGAACCTTTGCTGCACCACCTTCAGTATTACATTCCTTAAGCAGAGACACCAAAACTGTACACTGTCCTCCAGCTCTGGTTTCAACAGAAGCTGTAAAATTGTTGCAAGACTTCCTAATTCTTGTACTCCACTCCCTATTGCAATGCAGGGCAGCAATCACTTTCTACACCTGCCTGCTAACCCTCTGTGTTCCTTGCACATGCACATCCAGCTCTTTCTGAACACGGGCATTTACAAGTGCCACATCTTCTTAAAAAGGCATTTTTTCCTGTATTTACAACCGTCCTATATTATATTTAACCAGTCATCTTGCTGCTCACTCACTGATCTGTCTGTATTTCTCTGTGTCCTCCTCACATCTTACTCTCTCTTCTAGCTTAGCGTTCAGCATAAAAAATGAACACATTACTTTCCTGCACCTCTGTCTAAGTCATGAATATAGGTTGCAAATAGCAGAGGCTCCATCATTGATCCTTCCACTGTCTGCCAATCTGAAAAACAAATTTTATTTATCCCTACTTTCTGCTTCCTTGCTTCCCACCCCTTCCTGAAACTCTGATGGTCTCAGACTCTCTCCTGTCACCCATCACTGACAGCAGGAACCAGCTGATGCCACCCTCAATAAATAACTTATTGTGGACTGCACTAACAAAACCAGAAATTGCTGAAAAGTCTCAGCAGGGCTGGCAGCATCTGTGGAGAGAAACCAAAGTTCATGTTTCAGGTCTAGTGACCCTTCTTCAGAATGTTCCGATTGAAAGAAGTGTCACTGGATCCGAAATCTCTCTCCACAGATGCTGTCAGGCCTGCTGAGATTTCCAGCAATTTCTGGTTTTGTTTCAAATTTCCAACATCTGCAATTCTTTTAGTTTTTTGTTTGCAGACAACAATACTTTACTCACATGCAGTAGTTGAAGTAGGGAGAGGAGGTCATGCTAACTGACTCCAATACCATGCTGTACCGCAGAAAGTCAAGTGAAGCCTTCTGTAGATTATCCATGGCCACAAACCTTTTTCAGACACCAGTGAGAGTCAGCAGTAAGAGTTAGAGCAGCTTAGTCGAAGTAGCAAGCACTTTCTGTGGCACAGTGGCTCACTGGTTAGCACTTTCTGCCTCACAGTGCCAAGGGTCCAGGTTCAATTCCAGCTTTGGGCAACTATCTGTGTGGAGTTTGCACAGTCTGCCTGGGTTTCCTCCGGGTGCTCTGGTTTCCTCCCACAGTGCAAAGATGTGCAGGTTAGGTGGATTGGCCATGGGAAACGCAGGGTTACAGGGATAGAGTGGGTCTGGGTGGGATGCGCTTCAGAGGGTCAGTGTGGACTGGATGGGCCGAATTGCCTGCTTCCACACTGTAGGGATTCAATGATACGTTAGGGGGAATCTGTGGGTGTGCGGTCAGGTGTCCTGCACACCAAGGCATCAAAAGGTACACCATCTGGGGCTGAGCTTACATTGTCTTCTTGAGAAGAAAAACTCTGTAAAATGGCCAACTGCTGTGGTTTATTCCAGGAGTGTATGGATACTTAACATTTGGTACAGACGTGGCTGCAGATATCCTAATGTCATACCCAGACAATGAGGTTCTCATTATAATAGGGAGACTGCTCTTTGGGATCTCCATCATCACCATCTATCCCATAATACTCCATTTGGGCAGGTATGCTGTGATTTTCTAAACTTTGTTCAATTGTCTCACCGAGGATAATAGTCTGAATACTCAGTGGGATGGCACAGAGCTCACACAGGCATGGAACCATAGAGTTGCACAGCACAGAAACAGACCCTTCGGCCCAACATGTCCATGCCAACCAGGTTTCCCAAACTAAATTAGTCCCATTTGCCTGCATTTGGCCCACATCACTCTAAACCTTTCCTATTCGTGTATCTGTCCAAATGTCTTTCAAATGTTATAAATGTACCTGCATCTACCATTTCCTCTGGCAGTTCCTTCCATGTAAACACCATTCTCTGTGTGAAAAAGTTACCCCTCGGGTCCCTTTTAGATCTTTGCCCTTTCACTTTAAACCTATGTCCCCTACCCTGGGAAAATGATCTTGGCTATTCACCTCATCCATGCTCCTCATGATTTTACAAACCCCCATAAAGTCACCCCTCAGCCTCTTACACTCCAGGGAAAAGGTCCCAGCCTAACCAGCCTCGCCTTATACCTCAAACCCTTCCAGTCTTGGTACCATCCTTGTCAATATTTTCTGCAGAATTTCCAGTTTAATAACATCCTTCCTGTAGCAGGGGCGACCGGGACTATTTGTAGTACTCCAAAAGTGGCCTCACCAATGTCTTTTAAAGCCTCAACGTGATGTCCCAACTCCTGCACCCAGTGCTCTGACCAGCGAAAGCAAGCGTGCCAAACATCTTCTTCACCAACCTGTCTGCCTGTGATGACATTTTCAAGGAACTATGTGCCTAAAACCCTAGGTCTCTCTGTTCAACAACACTCCCCAGTACCCTTCCATTGACTGTGTAAGTCCTGCCCTGGTTTGTCTTTCTAAAATGCAACATTTGTCTGAATTAAGCTCCATTTGCCACTCCTTGGCCCATTGGACGGAATGATTCAGGACTGCACTTCCAGCCAGTGTCACCCACTCTGGGCATCAACCCTGCTACAGTAGGGGTTTAAAGGTCCAAACTACTTGGCAATGTAATCTCTGGTGACAATTTTTGCTCTTTGTTGATGTGCTGTCAGAGAAACATGGGCAATACGTGGGGTCTATGCCGTATGGTACTTCAAGTCCCTCTTCGCCATTCAGTGTGGTTATGGCTGATCATCTAACTCAGTCCCTGGATCCTGCTTTCTCCCCACCCCTTTTGATCTCTTTAGCCCCAAGAACAATGTCAAACTCCTTGAAAACATTCAATGTTTTGGCCTCAGTTGCTTTCTGTGGCAGAGAATTCTACTCTCCTGATACAAACCTTCCAACAGCTATGAAGAATACAGGGAACAGTTATATGCTTCATGAGGAGTAGAAATCTGGTGAAATGACCAGGTACATTTTAGATTAAGTTTAACAGAGGGAAGTATGAAGCCACATTTTCTTTTATCGTTCACAGAAGCAAGGCATTATCTGACGTCCATCTGAAAGTGTCCTGAACTGAGCACCTTGCTTCAATTATTTCAGAGGGCAGCTGAGAGTCAGCAAACCCCCTCCTCCATTGCTGTGGGTCTGGAATCAGAGAGGCCAGACAGGGAGGAGAGTAGATTTCCTTCCCTGAAGGACATTAATGACCCAGATAGGTTTTACAACAATGTTCACTATCCCCGTTATGGAGGCTGGCATTCCAATTACAGTTTTAAC